TAAGCGCACCATCAGAAACGTTTACGTCCCTTCCGGGGCAACCCAGTACGGTCGAATGATTTCATGCGTTTCTGACACTTCTGCGCATCCGCATCCTCCAACCACGATTCGTCCGCGAACCTGTTGAGCAAACGCACTAGCCTCAAATATTTCAGAACTACAAGTGCAAGTTTGGCCGGTGAACGCACAAGAACGACAGCAAATATTCATGGTTGACACTCTCAGAATGAACATTCAAAAATGACACTAACACGGCCATTTGGGAAGGAAATATCCCCCATAGAGGCGGCAAGACATAGGCTTGCTCATGTACATAGGCGAGCCTGCAGGCCCTGAGATCACTCAAGTCTTACCGCACGATTTTCCATCTTCCTTCCTCAACACCTTGTTGCATCCAATCTTGTAGCGACTCCTCATCGGACACATACAACGTTCTCACTTCTCCGTGTTGTCCCGTCCGATTCAACGAAGGTTTCTAAAAGCTACCACAACTGCCCTTCGAGCCCAATATGAAACTCACCAGCACCGCGCCTGTCACTGGTCCATCTTCACGATCGGCTGATGAACTGTCACGCCATCCTCTCCAGGAGCAGCCTCCACGTTGCCACCAAGAGTTATCATCCCACTGATTCTGCGACCACTTCTGCTCATACGACCACCACTCGTTTGACCACTCATTCGACCATGACCGCTGCCTCTTCCGTCCTCCTCGATCATTCCAATGCGAATTATGATAATCCTGATAATCAAGCGCGTGACATACTCCCTGAGCTGCCTCTGTGAGCTCTAGCGGTCGATAAACTCACCTGCCAGTCCCCTTGCGACTGCGAAGAAGATGTTGACCCTCCACGCTGTATCACTGGTTCGCCGTCTCGAGCATCCCACTTATGAAGGGCCTGCTTCCAGAGCCTCAGGCGACTGAGGGGTACGACAAGTCACCACCTATATTGTAGTGGACTGTTGCCAGTGCCGGAATATTCCCTCAGCTGAGGTTGGGAAGTCTCTCACTAACAATAGAATTGGGTAGAAGTGTACATGAACTAAAAATTAGTTCTCAAAATTTCCTATATATTTTCGCTGTGTCACCAACACATGTAGTTGACCACATGCACGTTTGCCCACACTGATTATCGCCCAGAAAGGTATAACTCAGTAGGTTACCCCTCGAATGCTCTTTTTGAGTCCGTGCCATCCACTCGAGGGGTCGACGGGTGCAACGGGTCTTTGAGATTGCGATCCGATCTGAATCGTACCAAAACTCGCGATGAACACACCAAGAAGAAACTCTCACTTCCGCACATGCTTAGAGTAATTCTGGTAACCTCGACTCGTCTTGGCGAGGTCTATCTGCTTCTGGCGCTGCGCCAGGATCCTTTCCATGGACGCTCTGTGTGACATTGGAAATGAATCCTCGAACAAGTATCAGACATGCCTTATCATACCACCTGAAATCTCCCGTTCGCTGAGCTGAACGAAAGCCGCTGAACTTTATTGGAAACGGATGAAATTCAATTAGATGGAGGCGACAAGCTGTCTAGGAGCCACGTCATGCAGAGCACTTTGGTAGTGGGTACTACCCACCGGGTAGTTTGGCTGCTATGTCACGAAAGCATCGACTTCTTGAAGCGAACGATAAATATCAAGCGCTGAAGCATCGTCAGGAGAGTATCACGTAGTCCTCGAGTAAATTCCCGCTATATGGCCTTGGCTCAGTGTCGACCAATAAGGGCGTCTTGAGAAGGTGGGAGACCTGTCATAGAGGGCGATAGGTAATACAGCGTGCAGACTCCCATTGGTTCAAAATGGAATGCTTCTGCTGACCGAGCACTCCCAGCAGCTAAAGAGGGTCTTACATCCACTATGCTTGCATTGTTCGGAGGCCATTCAGACTGTGGTATCCCAAGCACTGTCGCAATGATGGCAAATACATGAACCTGAGACGCATACCGCAAAGAGCATATCGGGCGTCAAGTCGGAAGCCCCGTAAAGCTCCTCTACGTTATCGAATGGCTGTTGAACGAAAGGAATAGATTGGATCTGCGGCCCGGCAGCGATAAAAACTGGCCACATGTCACTCAACCTAGGGAGGCTAACTGCGAGGCTCTGGTTTGTGTCAAACAAGCTACCTGTTGTCATACCCATGGTCACCCAAGCCGTCAAAATGATCGCCCAAGTATGTGGTCCAACCCTCATCACAGACGCAGACCTGCCATGAGAACGAGTTGAACTGTTCCCGCGACCGCCATGGCTCACTGATAAGCCTACCACTGGAGGTATCCTATCATTTGTTTGGTAATGCCAGCGACAAGGGAGGTTCTCTCGGAGGTAGCATACCATATGACCAGCAGCAGACTTCTCCAAAGACGCTCGGATTGACTCAGCTTGGTGTGCATCGTGTGGCCAGATGTGGGTCACAGGCCCCGTGGTCGTAATATTCACTCTGAACGGAATTGGAATCCAATTATTGCATATGGGGTAGCACTCCAAGTGCTGCCTTCGCTCAATGAAAGATGCTCAAAGATTACAATAAGAAGCTCATCAGCATCACACATTGTTTGCTCTATGATAGATATTATCAGACCGAAATCTCAGTCCAAAGAGAGTCTCCCCGGGAGAGATACAATGGAACACGACAACGGATGCAAGCATAAGTCAGTATCCCACCAGACACATACCAGTCTATCGCTCATTGCATATTCCCTGTTTGATGCGCTCATCTGACTCAGAGACTACTGTAATTAAGTATACAACGAGCGTGTGATACTCGACACATCAATCCGCCGTCCCGGCGTACGGTACCCTACGATCGATTATTGCCCATGGGGTCTTCTCTTGGCACCGTTTCTTGTAGTCCAAATTGACACGAAAGGGTTCTTCTGGACCGCTTCTTCTTAACAAGCTCACCTTCCACTAGAGGACTCGAGTTCATGATCGACAGCAGTCACAGTCTTCCCGAGCATAGTGTCGGGGAAGTAGTCGAAAGCACTTTGATGTATGTTCTTATCGGCGATAGAGAACGCCAAGCTATTAGCGATAGTCGTATAACCGATGAAAGCTTCTCGATTCCCAAGGTCGGCCTCTAAAATTCTCGCAAAATATCAAAAATATGAAAGTACACTCCGAATCCGAACATTGTTGGCGTGACCGCGGACTTACGATCTCCTCGGCTTCAACGTCGATAGGTGCCGGAAAAGGAGCGGACGGGATGCGACCAGTAGTAGGCTCGGGGGTGGTGGGCTTGGGGGTAATGGGTTTCTGAGTAGACCTAGGAGCAGTAGGTTTGGGAGTAGTAGGCCGGTCGGTAGTAATGGTACTAGTAGTAGCAGTAGGCCTGTCGGTAGGAGTAACAGCCGGCCAGTCGTGAGGGGCCCTTAAAGTATAGGGAAGTTCTGCATCTCAACCTTCTTGAAGAAGGTGCACCGCCGTGGGGTTTCTCGGGTCGGACGCGCTGAATTCATCAACAAGCTTACGGACTGTGTTGGCAGCTGCAGTTCATAAAAGTTGCTTCAAGCAACTTGCTCGTCGGTGAGCAGCAGTTGCTCACAATTCCCAACTGCGGGAAATTAGCAATTCCGAATCACTAAGCTTTATCTGTCGCATAGGACGAGCGCATAACACGGTTCGCGGATCGGGAGAAATCCCATTCCCACACTCACATCTCCGGATCAACACCGTCTGCCAGGTTGATTCCAGGATTGGTGGCCCACGTCATGCCGTGATCACTGGTGAGGATGACATTGACCTCCCCTAAAGCTTTATGCACTTAATTAGCCAATGAATTTACCAGAGGCAAACTGCCCCTCTCACCTTGAATCTCGTGTAGTCTATCCCGCAGTACTCCAATGGCGCTGTCTACCCGTCGCACTGCGGCTAGTGTTTCCTCAGTTCCTGGCCCATACCGATGCCCCGAGTGATCTGGTTCATCGAAGTACCTTCAAACTTCAACTCCCCAGTGGGGACAGTTCGGATATGACTACTGCAGATAACTCTCAAAGTTATCTACCGTAGCTACGGTTATTGGGAAGCAATTCTTCTTCATCGGAAGCTACTGCAAGTCCCAGGGTCCAAGGTGCTCCGGCGGAGACAGATGAAATTCGTTAACTTTCCCCACCACTCCGAAATCTTCTAAGGGCTAGACTTAACCTATCTTACAGCAGGGCCAGCCTGACATCCTCATCCTCTACCATGATATTCACCAGCTTGTTGGTTCGTTCGTGAAATCCCAGGCTCTGGTTGTATGGGAAATGATACCTAAATGAGTATAAGGAACCTGCGAGAACGCCAGAATTGGGAGAGTCTTGACGTACGTCGGCTGCATTCCTTGAACGACTTTATCGCAGCCCACCCAATTGATACAAACTGACTTGATACCGAGTCTGCTCGTAGTACCCCATATGGGCTCCGCTTCTTGGAAGAAACTACACAATCAACATACCGATAATTCGTCCTTTCCTTCGTGAAAAGAGAGCGTCTGGTGGCGGCTCACTCACTCGCTCTTTGTGGTGTTCATGAAGAATCTCTCCCCCAAATTGGGATCCCACATCTCATTGGCGACAATACCATGAGTTTCCTCCCATGCTCCTGTCACGAGTGTCCAATGATTCGGAAAGGTTACTGTTGTGAATGTATTGATCAAATGATGGGCCTGAGCCACCATCCGCAACGCCCGGCCTTCCAGCAAAAAGGTAATTCCGTGTTTGCTCACAATGTGAGCAAACGCATATCATATGTCAGATGTCATATCAGAACACTCACTTCAGCCCAAACAATCCGCATTAACCACCATGAAAATCCGACTCTCGAGAAGCATACGAGTAAGACGCAAATCCTGCCAACTTGCTCCCCACCTGAACACCTTTTTCATTGAAATAGTCCAAATTTGGTGTGGAAGTGTTGCCGTAGTA